GAACATTTGCAGAATACCCAGAAACTCCTTATACCACCTGGTAACCGAAAAATCCCTGAATTGAAATGATGACAAACTATACAACCATGATGTCAACAAACTTTTCGCAGCACAAAGTTGTGTGACCTCGCTTAGCTGTGCATGCAATATCTTAGCGCATGTCATAACTACGCTTGCGGATAAGATGATAAGCTAACAATCGGCCGAGATATGGCAAATCAAAGGGATTATAGTCGCTATCTTTGGACTGAAAAAGAGGGATTATAATCGCCTAATCGTTAGTTCAAACGTTTGCGTCAGTTTCGGCTGAGCATAGAAAAAGAACTGAACGTTTGCCTTACACTGGGTTTCGAAATAGCTGTTGCACTTTATGAACATATCAACCAGAATGCAAGCGCAAAAAAAATTCAACCAAAATAAAAAAGGAATTCTCGTCAGAACAGAACTTATCGATGAGTCATTGCAATGATTCATCGATACAATGAGACTTACTGAACAAAAAAGTCGTTAATTAGTTACCAAGTAATCGCTACAGTAGCTCTCCCGTGCTGTTTTCGAGTTTCGCCTGGAAAAGCTAGATTTTGGTTTTAAATTGCTTCTAGCAATACAAAAGTTATGCACTTTTTGATTGAGAAATCCAAAAAAGCCCAGGTTAGTTAAGTGATAAATAATCCTACGAATTTCAAAAATTTGCAGCACGATAATAATTCAGGGTTTTTCCTTTTTGCGTTATTGGCGTAAGAGCAACACACAATACCAACATTATCGAAATCGTCCATAACGGAATACATGTAATCGAATTCTGTTGATTGGCACGGGCAGATATTTAACTGTAAATAATTCAGACAGGAGCGTTTTGAGATTTTTTTTCAGGATTCCATGTTTTCTTGCAATGGGTTAAAACTACAAATACATGCACAATGTAATCAAAAATGATGTTTAACGGGCTAATTTTCTTTTTTGTATACACGTGTAAACGGCTTATGTACAAACGCCTCCATCGAAATCATAGCGTATTAGAGTTTACAGGCCGAGTTTTGATTTCTGGTGTTTTTTTTCGAAGCACAGCATGTGGATGACGTTCTGCTTTATTCAAAGCCACATATGAGTATATGGGATTTTTTTCCACGTCTTATTATATTTTATCTTTACAGAGTTAAAGGAATTTGGAAATTTTCCTTAGATATACCCCTTCCTGAGATATGACCTTGTTATTTAACACATGACCACTTGGCTATTTCCCCGATGTTTTGTGCAACTTGAAGGATTTTTTTCTTTCAAAATAATATTGACGATTTAAATCTTTTTAATAACGAGATAATTCCTTCATTTTACAGTGTTTACATGAGGTAGTAATTGACAGGTTTATTTTGCCCGCGGGGGTGGGGTGGAGGAGGCTGGGGTGGGTGGGGATGAACTAAGGTACGAAAGACAACATTCAAGGAACATTCTGGAGTAAAGATCGTCTCTTTCATTAGTTTGGGGTTTGAGTTTATTCAATGAAAAATAAAACACAAAAATTGGTTAATATTTTTTTATAGCAATCTTTAACACCAATACTACATTATCCACTGTTTGAAAACGTTGCTTTTACCTGACTTTTTCAAACCATAACCAGCACACACAAACATATTAAAAAAAATACAACCTCTATACTTTAGAGCGCACAACCTTTCACTGGGGAAAATGAATGCAGGCCATTCATTCATTTTCCAAATCTGAATATGTCATCGCCAAAAGGCCTATGAAAGTTCAACACTTTTTTCGTGTGCTTGCGTGACCAATAAATCAAGTCGATCACAAGCCAATCACAACGTAATCCTGTCTCCAGTCACGTGACGAACTATTCACATGGAACCCGACAAATGCAATCCTTTGTCATTAATGCTTGGTGCACCTGACACTGGTGACCTGCCTGGTGATTCGACCTTTTGTCCTTTTGACCTGTAATTTACTTTTAATTGATTTGTGATTAAGTTGTTTGCAACTCTCATTATAACATGTATGATCCAGGCCAAGGCAATTAAAGCTATATGTCAAGGATTGCTTGGGTGTAGGACAACAGCAACATGTTTCACATTACAAGATGACCTTCGGGAAACAGCATTTGATTAAATGTTCTCTTTCATTCATTTTAACACGATTAAATCAGAAGAAAAAAAAACATTTCCAATAATCATACAGGAAACAGCTGATATACATTTTTACTTAAAAATCTTGCAGTTGCATGGATCCCAAATTGATTCAAGAACAATAAGGGGTGTCCATTTATATTTTGAATTTATTTAACCAGAAATGTATTCAATTCAAGAAAAGCTGCGTTTCCGTCATACGCCACCTTTGCACACTACAGTTTCATGTCCTTTTGGTATTACACTAGAAAAAAACGTAACTAACTTAAGACATGTTAATTAACCTGATTTCCCGAAACAAAACAACACACACGTATTTAATAAGGAAACGCACTATACATAATAGGATAAATAGGGAATGCATAAATATGACAGGCTGTTAATTCAATTTCCACGACTGAAAATGTCATTACTACACGGCCTGCCAAATTGCAAAGTGCACTTCGGTCCACGGCACAGTACACATTCATCACGTTTTCGCATGCCCTTTACTTTAACATACATCTAACGTACAAAATATTACAAGTATATTGCTATGTATAGCTCTGATTGAGAGGCAATTAAAGTGTACAGGGTGGTGCAAAAAGAAGGAAACCCACTTTGACAGGAATTTAAACCATTTATCTAACTTATTTGACCTTTTTTAATTTAATGAACTATAGCTCTTCAACCTTCAACCATACGTGGTGAAAAAAAATATTTACAAAAATCGCAAGAATACTATTTGAATACAAGTCACCAAAATCACTGTTGTCCACGTGTAAGTCTAGTGTAGTGTTTTTGTCTTCAAATCAAGCTCTGGAGCCCAGTCAAGCGGTCAAACAGGTTTGGCACATGCCTTTTTTTAACTACCATATCTCAGAGACAAAATATGCATTTGCAATCATTTTTTCCTCACTCATGTTTAAAGATCAATATTTTAATACCATTAAATTACATTTTTTGAAAAATGCTCAACAATAGGTGAAAATTGCTGTCAAAAGTGGGTAACATTCTTTTTACACCACCCTGTACTATGAGCACCGTGTTTAAGTCTTTATGTGATATATCCATTGATAATTGAAGAGAACTTGAATTATTCAAGTCTAAATATATAATAATACTGAGGAGATAGCATATTACCAACATGCACACAACAACGCATGCAATAATTGTGTCCACTGCGAGTCAACAATAAACATCAAAATAATTATGTTACAACAGCAACAATTAAGGTACATCGCGTTGAAAAGTAATTTATGAATAAAATGATTTTTTTCCACTTCCGTGAAATACAATGCATGGATTAAGTTCTTTATAACATACACTTGTTATTGCAAATTAACGTCTTACATAATTTACTGACAGGAATGAATCCTAGTCTATAGGAAAAAAATATTAAACAGTTATTGAGATTACATATGTATATACATTTGTGGATACCAGTCACAAGCATTTTCCCACTCCGAAGAATTGAATAAATAATGACTTCACCCTTCTGTTGTGAAGAATGACAGGTGCGATAACAGAAGACGGCAAACAAGCATCACAAATGCATCAACAAAGGGGACGCGATAACCTTGTGTCAACAGGGGTTCAAAATGTTCAACAGGGTTTAAGAAGGCATTCCAGACGGATCGAAAATCCTCAATGTCTACGTACATAACTGAACTAAATAACTTATTGTACACAAAAACCACACCTTGAATGTACATTGAAATTTAAGACATTGGTGATTATATTGCGCAATTTTTGTTTGGACTAAACAAATTGAGGAGGAATATTGTGCATCTTTGAACAGTGACAAGTGTTGAGCGTTTTACGTTCATGTACATGTACGTGTATCGATTTCGTTCATTCTCAAAACTGTTGGAATTTAGGATCCGTGTGATGCGATATTTTATTTGAACAAATAATGGCTTTAGTGATTTAGGAGCAAATGCTCTCATTGAAAATGTACAGCAGGCCTTCATTAAGTGAAAACATTTCGCCTATGTCATAAACGTTGGCTGCTGTACATTGAATATTTTTGGTGTTCGCCATTTTTTCCCCTACGCAGGACTCGGTACCAATCACAGCACCGTTTTAATAGGTAACGCATTAAGTGCCGAGGGAGGCAGTTGTCTAATGAAATTTCGTGTTTGCTTTTTAGTTTGTAGTACTCGTCACTCGGAGCCGCTCGCCATCGTGCAAACACTCTTGAATACCACACTAGCATTGTGAAGCATGGACCTTATATCTCTGCGGGGGTTATTGTGGCGAGAATAATACACTGCATCGTGTGTGCACAGTGTACAGATGTACAGAACTCGCGGACCATTTATTTTTTACCAAAATTGAAACTGCAGCGTTGACGTCACTCAGAACATTAAACATGTACATGATAGTGCCCTTAACAGTAATATTATGTTCATGTAGATGCATTCTTGTAATAGTGAGTGACCAACATATGTGTTATTTTTAACAAGTGTTCAGCTCCTTAATTACATAACGTTTCGTCAAAGGGTGTTACAATAAACAAAAATTAAACAATAAAGATAATTTGCTTATTTAGAGGTTGATACCAATTTCTTTAAAGCCTTTAAAATTATTACCCTTGTTGATCTGGCCACGAAACCCATTTTCCAAATTTCCAGGAAGAATTCAGATGCAAAATGAGATACATGTAAATCTTTTTCAATAGGAAAAAAAAGTAGGTTTTGAGGGGAAATTTCTTCGAATTATGTTCAGCCCACAGTGCTTACAACAGTTGTCGGCAAAGGAAAAAAACGACTACAACTTTATGTATGATAAAAGTATATTTACCATATACAGCGAAGAACTGAATGATTTGAATCTAAAATGAATTGTTCTGAAAGAGTGATCACATAAAAGATGAGAAGCTCTATGTTTTTTATGGTATACCTGCACTGCAGCATCTGAATTCTTCGCATGTGCTCTATTATCATTGTCGATTATTGCTCCCATATAGAGTGTTACTATAAACACACATGGAATTCGTAGTGTAACCAGGGTACCAACGATGACCCACTGCAGGGAGTGCACTAAATGGTGCATGGAGACCTTTGCACTTTTTAGAGGTCATGTCACACCTGAAAATGCACCAAGAAAACAAGCTACCTATCGATATAAGGTTGTGACCTGGCAGAAAAGGAATTTGGCCCGTAGATCCTTAACTGCTGGTACATTAGTACACCTTTATGTCCAATTTCGAACCAAAATGCACCTTGTATATTTGAGGCTGGTTAATACCATCAAATACTGTATTACTTGAGCTACATGAAGTTAAGTGAACTGTAAATCTATCCAACATCTAGAATTGGCCAAGAAATAACCGTACGATGATGACCATTACTATCACGTTTTGATCACCATAGATAATATTTTCAATATTGCTTTAAAGACTTACGTCCACGCGGAATTAAAGTTCAAAGTCTACAAGTATCGGTTTAATTAAACTCCGCCATATGTCGGTTTTGCGATAGAAAATATCCTTGCCCTTATTTGCATTCGAGATTGTACAGTTTTCCTTTACTTTTCAAACTTTTCAATGGCAGAACAGTGACAAAAGTTTGTTTATGGCTTCCACAGCAAGACCTTGGCCATGAGCCTTGGGCGAATTTCTTTTGTATGTACATTTACATGTATGTACTCGGTGACCGGTAATTGTACGAGGGTTGTAGTTTAATCCATATCCATTGCATACGGACCACTTTCCGATCACGCCATCACAGTACTTTCACAGAGGCCCCCATTAATGGTGAAAGCACTATGCCAGCTATTGTACAAATTAACTGGCCCGAGACGGATTATCTGTACAATAGCTAAGCACAATGCTTAAGCCATTGAAGGGGGCCTCCATGAGTATAAAAGATTGCGTGTCTGGCATGGCTATGTGTACAATATTGTATTTGAAAATTCACATTATTTTTTTAAGTTTATATATTTTATTGTTGCCGGAAACAATATCCATACTCAAAGAGTGATTGCCCTTATCACCAAATACAATGGAATATAATCATTTTCTATAGATTCAATTTTTGGAAAACTATAAATAAAAATTGGGAAATTAAGGTCTTTTTGTGTGTCAGAACACTCGTCTTCTTTATCAAGTCAAAATCCCCACTCAGAAATTATTCAACACTTAAATGGAGTACCGAAAAACAAGACCGTTCTGCCTCATCTACGCATACACATCAATTATCAGAGTAATTTTAACTGTATTGTCTTAAGAGTTTGGAAATGATTTTATTTGTCGAATCCTTTTCCTGAAGTATAGGCCCATATTGTTATTAACAGTTGTTGTCTTTCACAAATATTTAATATCAACACACTTTTTATATCAAATTTGCTTAAACTTTGTATTGAACTTGAACTGCTTAATTAACAGGGTCGTATGCAACACCAGTGCACGGTTAAAGTATAGGAAAAAGATATTTTTATGTTATATATCTGCAAAAATATCTGCATATTCAGAGACCTTTATCATGCAGCCACCATTTCAGTCATGTTCCCTGTATCCAATCACGGTACAGAATGGTCATGGTTTTTTGTGCAAAAAGAAACCAGACTATTTCCCCTTCCAGCCCCGATTTGGTTACGTTGATTTGAATGGGGAAAAAAGCAAGATGGCCGCAACATGATAATGGTCCATAGAAGCTACTACAGTAATAGTCCGAAAATTTAGGACTCCAAATACTGTGTATGAGAGTCTCAACACATATTTGAAACATGCAATACAAGAAAATAGACTAGCACAAGAAACAACCTGTCCACCACCCTTTTGATAATGTCATGACTGCATCAATCCAACTGTTTCAAAAGAAACATCGGGTACCCAGTCTTTATTTCTAACATTCTCTTCTCTGTCATCCAGAAGGGTCAATCTTTTCAAAAAGGTTGGACATGTACTAGTCTAGTCTTTGACTTCAAATTGAAATCGCGTGGCTTCACTGTCAGGTGCAAAATATTGAATAAAAGTCCCTTTTGAAATTTGAATTGAGACCTCAAACTTGGCTGGTGAAATACCGAGGACCTTATCCTTGTCTCATGAACATTTTGGAAAATTTTGCCAACTAGAGTTTAAGTTGACCTAATTTTGTTTTGCATGTTTGTTTTTTCTGCACTCAAGGTCCCAGTCTGCCACAGGACCCACTCTACTGACTCGCATGAGGAGAAGGGCAATCCATAAGGTGAATTTTAACAAGTAACGCCGCTCAGAAAACTTACAATCAGTCCGTGCTGTCTTGCTTCTCCGGCCGGAGCCTGATCTTGTACATAGCTTGGTAGTACGGCGTGGTAAAGTCTATGGCTTCTCTGAGCTCAGCAGGCAGTTCATTCACGTCAATCTTCTTGGGTGTGGGTTTCCTAAACCCCGAGCTGCCGAGAGCGGCGTTGTACCAGCCCATCATCAAGTTGGACACCCGTAGTACTCTTGGGCAGTGCCACCTGAGTTCGGAGGCTTTTGCCGGCTTCCACCGCAACATTTTCTCGTCGTACGGGATGCCTGTCACCGAGCAGTATTGCCGCATCATCCCTTCAGGATCACTGAGTAGATCATCGGCGTCGATGACTATCGGCGTTTTCCTGGTCTTGTGCTCCATGTACTCAAAGAGATCGTAAAGTTCCTTGATAGTGTAGCCTTCAGCTGGTATGCAGCCCAGTATGCTCGTACCGACAACCATCTTGGACAGCCTGGACGCCTCCAATCTTGGCTTGAGAGAAGTGAACACCTTCACTGGGTTTCGTATTAGGAAGGTGTGCATGAAGTCCTCTGGGAGTTCGTCGAAGTGCCCCTGCACCGCAAAGGCAAAATCTTTGGCGAATAAGACACTGGCGGTGTAGCTCTTCTGAGATGCCGTGTTGAGTTTCTTGGTCACTTTTGCGTGGGAGAGGGTCGGGGCGAGGGAGGGGATTTTCTTGAGCCATAGCCGCTCCGGGCCGAACAGATAGGCTGCCGTGTACATCTCATTATAAACATCCGATGTTTCCAAAGCGATGATGGACCTTTCAAACACCGTGGAGAGGGATCTGGGAGCGGACCACAGCATCACCTTTGCCGCGGGCTTATCGTTGCCTTTTTCCCACGCCATCCTCCTAGGCGAGTCTGCTCGTGCTTGTGTTGCCATACCGGGCAGTGTCTCTCTATAGGCCAACACACCAACGACTCGGTCGCGGTACAAATTCCACCTGTGCTCAACGCTCTGCGTTAATGCTTTGGTACTAAGCAAAGATCAGTGCCGTTACATTATGCGAATGCCTGTACAATTCTAATCAGCACTCCAGTCCCCACTGATAAATATATTACAGGCACATCAAGGATTTGTATGATAAGATTTAATCGACAAGAAGATAAAGCCAGTTTCAACTCTCCGGTAACACCAGGTAGATGGACCGTGTGGGCTGTATTGTCTCCGTGCTGTTAAGCGAACAGTCAGGTTAACACGTCACAATAGCTTTACGCGCTCACAAAACATGCCCCTGCTATTCAGATGGTGACTCAGTTCATTGCGTAACAATGAATAGCGGTTTATCAAATCCAATAGCAACCGTTAGACTCGATTCAAGCCTGAAACCTCTTCTTTGACAACGCGGTCTAGCGCGAAGTCCTATCCACTTGCTGACATTGTTGCTGACATTAGCGCGACTGTAAGACTCGATCCGAGACTAATAGTCTACGGACCCAATGGGTAACCGTAATATAAGGCGCTCGAGCAATAACTTGATGCCCGTGTTTGTCACTTGAGACGATGAAACTATCAATGACGTAAACACCAATTGTAGACTTAGCCTCAGGCCTCCCGCATGGCGAGCCAACATTTAGGATAATTACCGTTAAAGTTGATACCCGTGCTCTTCCAAAAATACTTTTTTTTTAAATCCTCAGGAAGTTTCAATTTGTATGTTTTGTTTTAACGAAACAAACTACTTTATTTCAATTTTGGGAGTCTGCAACTATCTGATAAGGGCTTTCGTTTTGGGCATAAACGAACCCGCACGGGGAATTTTCTTATTAATTTGATCGGTGCGTAAAACGTTTCGGTCATTAATTTTCCATGCATTCTAATTTTTTAACTTATGCTAAAATTCGTAGACTAAAATATTTTGAATAACTGCAGACAAAAATGCTTAGGCCTACTCCACGAAAGCACATTATTTTGCCCACAGCTCACTTTTATGTTTATTCTTTTTTAACCTTTCTGCAGTTGCAAAGCCTTCGTTCAGCACAAATTGTTTACTTCAAGACTAGGCATATTGTATTATTATTCTGGTTTTTAAGGTTCAAATATTTGATTTCATCCGGTCAACGATTCGCTATTTTGTGGGCATACTTCAGTGGATTGTTTTTACCTCTTTTATTCCCGGCTACTCGGAATGCGTGAATGGCAATAATTCACATGTAAATTGTCTATTGTGCAGACTAGCACATAGATCCCCTGTCGGTGACTGGTACATGTTTGAAGACTGACGTAACATCGAAAATCGATGAGGCAGGATAAGAAGGTTCATCAAACTTTTTGGGCGAGGTACCAGGTACACGACGCTCCAACCTCGTCTCCGTAGCATTCCTGAAGTACGCTACCGTTATGGCGGTATACATAGCAACCTCGTCCACAGGGCTTACTTTCTTTTCAACCTCGTTTCCAATAGTAAGGCCTGGGTAATTTACAGTATTTGGAAAAAAAGGAATTCCGTTAAAAAAACCATTAATAACATTAAAATATTAAGAAGTACCAGATAAAACTGACAAAATATACCCTGAATACACCACAAATTTACATTAGAAAACTGCTCAGAACATACAACGCATGGCCTAAGGGCATCGACTGTCATTGAAAAGCAAAAAAAACCCAAAATAGATAAATAGGTGTGTGAGTTAATTAGGAACTATCGAGTAAGCAGATCAGACAAATAACATCAGACAAAACTGACATCATACCATCGTTTGACAATAAAAAATATAGAAATGCACTGTGCAAGAGAAAGCTGTTCAAAACGAGTAATGTACATTGAAAAATGGCATCGACTGTCATTAAAAAGCATCTAATAAAATAGATAAAAAGTTGTATGTATGTTTTCACGTTCATTTTAATTTTTACGTCCACACCTTCCCAAAATAATCCTGACCTTTCCAATTTGCTTATATTAATATGAAAAGTGATACTGTATAATTTTGGCAGGAGAAGATTGTAACATTAAACTTTGAAAAAAAAATCGTGTTACGTATCTTATGTTTTACCCCAGCCACCGCATACAAAACCAAACGCCAACGTAAAGCACAGGCAGCCACCAGACTATTCCTGATTTGCATACGACGTGTCAAAAAATGTCGGACATGCAAATGATCCAATACCAGGGTGAGCACGTACTGCTCGACACCCTGGGGACGAGGTTGGGGATATTTGGAGCCGCAAGAAGGGAAAACAACAGGTAAGCACATTCCTGCTACCCCCTCCCCTCATGACAGCTAACCCATCTGTCCCTGGTACTCACTATCATACTGGCAGCAGTAAGTGACAATTCAACGTTCCTGACAGTCTCAAAGAATATTATTTCTGACTTCAGAAATAGTGTGACGTCATCTCGATCAGAAATGTGGACTAATTAAGCTGTTGGTTGGTCAATTGGATACACTGCCAATGAAATGGTCAAATTTTGCCCAACTTTTTACCCAAACTTAATTGGTACAATAGTCAACGTCCACATCTTTCGAGCGAAAAATGCCCAGCGGCCGTTGGGCAAACACGTTTATCTAAAACTTGGGAAATATTACAGACGGAACAGTTGGGTATACTTTTAATCATCCATTACTTGGGTAAATGTAAAGAATCAATTGTTGGTAAGCCATTAACTGAAAAATGGTCAATCATTTTTGACAAGTTGTTAGTTAGCATTTTCTCAATTATTGGTTACTAAGAAGAGTCACGTGTTGGGTACTATGTTGTATAGATTTGCTCAATTTTAGTATCCAGCTTCATATGCCGGGGGGGAGGGTGCAACCGCACGTCCGCGCCGAAATGTAGACATGTTGTTTTTTTCTCCGGACACTTGGCCTCCGTAAAAAAAAAAAAGGGCGGGGGGGAGTCTTCCAAATGGGGGCGCTCTTCAAAACTGACGATTATTATGCATACAGGAAACTGTAGGCCGATTTCCACGGCGCATGGCGGATTTTGAACTGGTTTTCTTTTTGGGTTGATGTCAAAACTCTCTTTCCATTTATGGAAATACTTACTGAAAAAAATACTTTCACAAAAATCCGCCAAGTGAGGGGAGTCAGAATGGCCGGTCAGAAACTCGACTGGACGCAGTCTTGTTTTGTATAATTCGTTGATGAATCTGCTCGCAGACCGTACCCTGGCCGTTTAGTTCCAGGGACCGAATTCACGAAGGTTTCGCAAAGTTAACGAAGTCGCAAACACCTCGCTCACGCTAATTTCGTATTCACAAAAGGTGTGCTTTGCAAACACTTCGCAAATGTTAGCGAATCCGCCATATTTTCGCAAACACCGCGCAAATGTTTGCACGTTATTCACAAAGCCCTCGCCATCTTTGCAATTTCGCAATCTCTTCGCAAAAGGTTCGCTAACGCGCTATTTTTTGCGACGAGTCCGATGTCGTCGCTAACTCCTCGTAACTGACAATATGGCGCTGTTGCTCGAACTGGATGAAGAACTCCGTCACGAATTACGCCAAAATAGGGTCTTTCTGACCGAACCAACGCGTTAGAAAGATATAGTGATGATAAATAGCGACAACTAAGATATACGAAGTTCACTGACCTTCCAAGGGTATCAGACGTCAGATATGATGTCCCCACATCTGAATTTTTTTATGGCACAAAGAGTTAACTTTTTGACTTGGGTCACAAGAAAGTGGCATTTAAAAGAGTAAATTTTATTCATATCTATAGATAGGGTTTACAAAGGTTATGAACTCTCGTATTGGGATACCAGAGGTTAAACTTGAATTGTCCTATATATGGACAATTGTCTTCATAGCATGAACACCTACCATTTGGACTTGAATCGTGAAAACAAGTTGGGGTTTAAAGAGTTTATCTTACAAATAGCTATAAATAAGGCTTAGGCCAAAAAAAAAGTCTCCGGTTTCTGGTATGCGCGCGCGTCGCCGTAGCCATGCGCGTCGGCAAAATGAAAAAGTTTTTTTTTCAATAAAAGATGATGTCTCAAAACCGCCAAACTCACTGGTTTGACTGGAATCCTGCTGCTGCACAATTTTAACGTGTTTTTAGATGGGGTTATGATCGAGAATAATCTTTATGTGACCTCTCCGGACTCCCATATATTTGCACTAGGTTTAGTCGGGCACCATTTGCAGTCATCAGCCGACATTTGAAGCAAAAAAAAAACAGGTAAAAAAAAAAAAAAAGCCGCGTCGCCGCACCACTTTTTGGGCAAGCTCCATACCAGAAACCGGAGACTTTTTTTTTTGGCCTTACAAAGGTCATTGACCTATAAAAGGTCACCAGAGGTCAGATATGAATTGTTCCCACATCTGTTTATTATTTCCATTGTATGACGATCTAATACGTAGACTTGGGTCAAAGGAAAGTGAAGTTTTGAAGAAAAGTTGTTATAAATAGAGTATGTAAAGATCGTCGACCTCGCAAAGGTCACCAGAGGTCAAATATGAAACGCCTCCATATCTAAAAAAAAAAAAAAAAAAAAAAGAAGGCACGAAGAACCAACATGCGAAGTTGCTTATATCACACACAAGTGCAAAATTCTTGGAATGGGGCTATGCCGCTCCACTATTGGGAGAATCGAGCTTTCCTTTATGTTGCTGCCCGTCTTTGGCAGTGTAACCATGCACGTGTACCTATTTTGGGTCGAATGAAATGGCTGCTCAAAGAACCTAGTGATTACATAACACATCGTTTGGTGTGTTCGCTGATGTATGACCCAAGTTAAAAAATCTTAATAAGAACTCACTGTTTAGACTTTGTGAAGGTTCGCCAACTTAGCGATTCATTCCGCAATTTTAGCGAAAGCTTTGCTGAAACCTTTGTGAATACTACCCATCGCTAAGCTAGCGATTTCGCAAGTAGTTCGCTAAGCTTTCGCTTCGCTATATATTTGCGAGGCCTTTGTGAATTTGGCCCCAGGTCTGCCGCTGCAAGTCAACAACAAAAAATGCCTGCATTAGCATTGTTCAAAATAGGCCTCAAATTGAAATATTCAATTAGGGAATCCCTGAATTAGTCATTATATATAATTAATGTGTATATGGGACGTATATAGGCATATTGGGGAAAATTATTAATTTTTCCCGTCGAGCCTGCCATTAATCGGCCTTTTATTATAATATGACCCATCAATTTTTTTATCGAATCACCTGCTAAAACTCCCATGCTTCGCGTATTCCTCGTCATCGCATTAATTGATAAAAGCGGTTGCCAGATGACAATTGAAGATCCTTAATGGTGGTAAAATAAATGCTGGATAAATGGTCAGCAATGATCGTTGAAGGCTGGTCCACTCAAGTTCGATACTTATTTTCCCAGACTGCAGAATAAAAGTAGCTGTCGCGATCTCAAGTCATGCGAATAATATAATATGATATTGTCAAAGTAGTTAATCTTTTGTAATGAACATGCAGCTATATTAATAGTTTATAGGAGGAACCCATGGAGCCTAATTTTCTACCAAAATCCGGTTGGATTCAGTTATTCTTTTTAATCTAGTTATTCCTCCGATGTTCCCTATATGGATTCGGGGATGCACAAGCGGATCAGTACCCGCCGCGCGCAGTGTGTCCCCCTCCTCCCTCCCCTTGCTCACCCCACTCCACCCACCCCCCCCCCCCGCCCCCCCCCCCCCCCCCCCCAACCTAGGGGCGAATATCCGTGGCTCTGGAGGATTTTTTTAAAAAGGGAAATTTAGTCCGAAATCCGTACCAAGTTGAAAAATAGTAGCCTCCACTCCAGCCTGGTTTTAATAAAAATGCCCCATAGGAAAGTGCACAAGGTACCCCAGATAGTTGTGTAATAAAAAATATCGCAACCGCGCTGGGCTCGCTCGCGAAAGTGATCACAAAAAGCGCCATCTAGTTCATGCACGGACTTATCGCTTGAGGGCGCTACACAAAACTAGGCGGGCCATTAACCGTGCACATTTCATGACTGTATTACGCGCACGTGTAAAGTGTAAACAGTGTCAAAATCCTGAGTCGTTTATTAACCTGTTAACATCGCTCATGTCGGTAGCAAATTAAGTAGAATGTGTGCAGCAAATGCGTCGAGCAGTCTAGGTGTGGACGTCTCTCTTGAACGTAATTCGCCACATTGTCCTCATGGTTTGTATTTGATTTGATTTGATTTGATTGCAATTAAGAATCTGATATTAAATCTGTGCTCTCTTGCCTAGTTTGTCATGTTTGTTGGGCATTTTTGTGTGTACGTGTTCATCTTTTCAAATCGTGGACGAAAAATACCAGAGAACAAAAAAGAACAATATCGTCCACGATTCCCAGCATACGTCCGCGATTGGGGTCGTGTATGGGAGTCTTCCTAAAAACTTAGAGTGCAAACAAACATGACAAAAGAGGGACAATAGGACAAATGTAGGATGTCCACGATCATGACGATCGACAGTGAACACATATTTGTGTGTGTTTGTGGGGGGGGGGGAATGATGGGTGATGTCGTGAATTTGAAAAGCTTGGGGGGGGGTGGGGGGGTATGGTGGGTGGGGGGGGGGATGGGGTAGACATACATACACTTTTGACCAAAACTGAATGACAGGCAACAGCTGAATAGCCGTACAAATGCACATTGTCAAAATTTGATGCAAGCTAGTGAGGGCCCGATTTATCACAACCCATGACGTCAATTGCTGTAAAAGTTGTCCAAACTCAACTCGAAATTACAAGATAACTAGACCTCTGAAGGTGCCAAATTTAACGTTTTGTTGATATTAAGCAGTTGTAGACGGCATTGTGTGAGTATAAAGTGACAAAATAATTGCGATTTCGAATGGATTTTCGGCTCCCTTAGCAACGGACTCTCCGTCCAAATAATGTGGATTTGTGAAGGTTAATACAGAGGTAGTCCAGTATTACCGTCACATTTATGGGACTATTGTAGCTTGAAATTTCCAGCTTTATTGGGAATGGGATTAGCCATAAGAGCAGGAAATACTAACCATGCTTAGAAAGAATGCGGATGTCAGGTGATGGTCATGTTTCTCGGGGATATTTTCCATTTCCGTTCAAATACAAGCCAAAAGTCACCTTGTATCGCCTGATCACAGCTTATAAATCCTTTATGCAGCAAAGGATCCTCTCAAAATGACTATTCGATCCAGTTGACCCCCCCTCCCTCCCCAAAAAGATTTTTTTTTAGTGCAACTCCCTGTCATGCCGGTGTGCAACCTTTCTATTTGTCACGTCATACAATGTACAAAAATGCCACCGGCAGTGCTTCTAGTTCTAATGATAAAAGCGACAGCATGCCATGATTGGGCTGTACATTAGTTTGGCCTGGTATTAGTCGTGGTAAGTTTTTACACATGTGAAAGCACTGGCCCATTTAGTGTTCGATTCAAAGACATACATGTACATTTAGATCATTTCTGTCATCCCTCCAGCCCCCCACCGCATGATTCCCACCCCCGTGTAGTTGATAAGGTCAAAATATAATGTGAAAATTACTCATCAGGTCCGACACTCCTCTTTGAGCGCTACACAGCCAAAGGCCATCACAAGAGACAACGGTACTACGCCTGCTCAGCGTGTCGGGACAGGAAGGACTGCAACTTCTTCCAGTCAGCTGATGAGAAGGTGTCCGAGGCTAGGTCAAAGGTCAGAGAGGAGTATAACAGGGCACAACAGCCATGGAAGAGCCATGAGGACTTTTACCAAAGGTACATAGGGGGGGGAGGGGGGAAGGAAAACTTCCGCCAAAGTTGCTAAGACTAGATTTAATTGAACTTGTTGATAGGGCTCTCTCATCCCTCAGTGGCTTGACAGCGCTTGTCAGGGATCTGGACAAAAAACAACTCCAGTCTTGAGCCAAGACTGTGTTCCAGGTGGACTTAAATCAATCATTAACTGATGTACTTATGAAACACATGGTATCTGGGGGGGGGGGGGGAATTTGGGATGACCAAAAATCCTAAAATTGCCTGGCCGTGGAAATTCAGGGGGAAGGGGGTCCCTGGGATGGACAATACATGACACCAGGGGTATGCAAACTTGTGCGTTTACCTCCCTTAACCTGAAACCGCAAATTGGCTTCTTTGAGCTTTCTTGTGTGACAGTGATCTTTCACGAACTCACACATATGGCTACATTTATTTATGAGTCCTCAAAGTGGTACACATGTATTCTGTCTAATTTTCTAATGTTTCCAACTCTCTGAAACTGCTTCCGCTGTTTATTTGTTCTGAACCATTCTTGGAGCTATGTTTTATGCTAATGTTTTGTTAAAACTCACATGATGTGTTTTGCATAATGTCAGACTTCTTGTGCCTGAAATTGTGTGCCCTTGTCTGTGTTGACTTTGGTATGAGCTTAGTCATAGCCAGTGGTACTGTTAATCAAAATTGAATTTCGAATGGTGATGCCGAATTGTGATGTCAAAGTACAACTTTCTTGTATTGCAGAATCCAAAAACAAAGCATGGACCAATTGTGGTACCCATAGGTTCTGGCCTGGTTCTAGAAAAAAAAGAAGACTTTTCATTCTTTGCAGAATGGAGGCCACAAACGACTTGAGTCCGCAGAAAAGGCGGTTCTGCCAAGACTGTAGCTTGTTACTTCGTCTGAGTGAAGCAGGGGAACATGCTGAGCATACAGTCAGATCTGGACTGAGCGACGATGCGCTGAGGCAACCATCACACCTGTTGGTTCCTCTTGAGAACAGCAAAACAAATGCTGTGAGTATAAATAGAAAAGTGATTGGTTAGCAAGTCTCAACTCACTTAGTTGTCATCTTGGAGGAAGGTCTGCAGCCAATTTTATGAAACAACCAATTTGTTGCTCAGCTGCTCAATAAACTTACAATCAATTTCATGAAACTTGGTGGAGCTGCGCAACTTTTTCAATAATCTAAACATCTTGGACGAGGATAATAACAGCGTTCACGACGGCTGTTTGTGTATAACTATGTTGGGTCACGAAACAGTCATTGAGTCACCTCCGCCTGCCATTTTGAAAATTGGTTTGTCCAACTTTCTTTGGAAGAATAATTCACTGACATGTGATCAACGATCCACCAATCAGATGATAGGGATTTATTCAGGCATTGTATAATGAGTTTGCCCTTCACTGACGTATTTTTATAAACACTGTATACTCAGTGTTGTCCCGAGTGATTGTGAGAAGAAAAGAAACTGCTCGGTTGGGACTCGAACCCACGACCCCTTGCTTAAAGGTTAAAGTTAACTGTAATGAACAGCGCCACCTATATTCAGGTGGTGGTCATCCCTCCCTCCAGACTGTTTCCCGGCCCCCCTAAAGATATGGGGACCGGTAAATAGCACCCATTTAAAGCCTTTGATTTGATCGCCTCTGCGCACGCATCACGGTTGTTTATTTTTGAATTGCTGTTCAATTCGGAAATGGACGCCGGGCCGGTGATTGAACTCACGATCGTCAAGAAAATCACACTTGTCTTACCACAAAAAGTACACAAAATCACCAGTTTCTCCATGAAAGCAACTTTCAAGCATTTCAACTGCATAGGTTGTAAATATTGAACAACAATATTTCTCTCTATATTGATAATTGCAAGAGATATTGATAATTGCCAAAGTCGAAGCTCTTTACCTCCAAAACTGCACATTTGTGGCCAGGCCTATTGCCATTTTGCAACAGGCTGGCTCGGTGCGCGCAAACATTACCGTTGCAGACCCACGCACGGCATGCATATAGTTAACATTACCCGGAATTCTGGGCAATGTATGCCAGATTCACTTTTATTTACCAGACCCCATTTTTGAAGTCCAAATGACAATTTGGTCAGGGAACCAGACTTCCCTCCCTCCCCCACCCCAATCCATGATGTGCCAGTTGCCCGCATTGTTAGTTATTACGTACATGTATATATACCTATAGATATCACATTTCTTTGAATACATTGTAAGTGTATTTTTTAAAAAGCCTTTGGTTTTTGCCTCATTTTCTAGGCACACATCTTGTAACATCTCCCTTGTTTTTGACACTTCTTGCTTTAATTTGCTTTTTTTCAGCAATATCTATTTTCAACAAAGTCTACTGAGTTTCTGATGTCTACTGTCAAGAAGTTGGGCTTCAACCGTGTGTTATGTGTAGGAGTGCCAAGGTACATACCTAGTTGTGTTTCATTGAAACTTGAAAGTTATAAAACAAATATCTATCACATTTCGGTAATCATGTAGTTTAGGACCCCATTCCGATATCAGATTTGGGGAAAGGGGGCAGGGTTTTGGATTAATAAACAGAACTTGTAAAACATAGAGGTGTCCTAAACTACATGATAACCGGGTGCTCTGAATTTCAGGGAGCATATTTGTGCTACACATTTTTTTTTAACGAGCTAATGCTGCTTGAAATAGGTGGGGCTTCAGAGCACATTTAAACTCTTGGGAGGTCGAAATATCACAAATATTTTGAGGAAGTTTGTTCCACAACATAGGTCCAGCACGAGAAAATGCACCGTCCGCCCATGTTTTATGTATATAGGCACTACAAGCAGGGAAGAATTCGCAGACCTAAGGTACCTAGAAGGGTTGTAAGGAATTGACAAATCAGAATTATATTCAGGGCAGAACCATGTAAGCAAGGGAAAATAAGCTGGAGTAATTTGAAAACTTTTGTTCTATTGTATAAAACTTGAATGTATGTCATACGAAATATGATGAAGGCATTTCTATCTCGCATAGAACTAACTTTTGGCTTTTGTTTTCAGATTACATGAAGCAATCCAGGCAAAGCGATCGTGTGGTCTAAGCAGTCTTCTACTGGACATCGATCACAGATATGTAAGCAAACATATGCCACATGTGTATACGAGTATACACTAGATAAGATCATTGCGAGTTTAGTTTGGTTCAGTATGAGATATTTACAAAATAATTAAGTGATGTCTGTAAGATGGTAAGGCCAAAAAAATAATAGTTCTGCTTCCGGTTTCCCTACCTACCCTATTCTGACAGCCCCTACTCTAATTTTTTTAACTGGAAAATGAGAAAGTGGATGGACTTTCATAGGTTCTCAAGTTCTAAAGTTTCTTCATAAAATTGAGCATAGATTGAACCAAATGTTTAAAAAACACATTACATTATGATATTTACTGTCATTCACAGAGGAAAATGAGATCTGTTTTCTAGCAGGAAGTTTAAAATGGGAATACTCAAAAAGTCTTAGACTCCATAATCAATTTCCCTCATGAGATTGAAGTAAAATAATATACTACAAATGTATTTTGATCTGATAAACTGTATCGACTTGAGGTATGCAAAGAGTCAAAATTAACAACCGTACAAGTAAGTAGCAAAGAAATACATGTAACAAGTTTTGTAGGCAAAGATTATCTTTCTTTTTTTCTCACAATTAAAAATGTTGCATATACAAATTTCGAAATCAAGGGAGGAACAATGAATGGGAAATGGAGGGTGTAACGTTTGGGTGGTACAGGGTAGGATAAAAACCACGTAAATCAACTTTGCGAAAACACTTGAAAATTTCATCTGTGTCTGTTTTTGTCCAGGGTCAGTTTTACCCACCAACGCTGTTCTGTCGTTACAACATGTTCAACCACCACTTCTTCGAAGGGGAACCAAGCCGGGATGTATGCCGGGAGTTCTTGCATCGTAACCATGGTGATGATGTTGTCGTGGTTACAGACCCTCCGTTTGGGGGGCGGGTGGAAATTCTGGTGGAGGTGTTGAAGAAGATAATGGAATTGTGGAAAGAAGGTGCCGATGGTAAGGTTTTGTCAAATATAATCATGTTTCTTTTTTTTATGGGCTCTGTGCGTGAACAAGAGAGGGCGCTGTTTGACCACTTTTGAAAGCCCTGTGGACGAGACACCCCGCTCTGGCGTACTTGTTTTCGCGCAAATAACGTAAATGCAAATTACGCACAACAAATTTTATCCTGAATGTGCACACAGCCATGGCGTCTTCGTGTGAGCATCAGGCGTCTTCGGCAGTGTGTTTGAATGTCACTCAAAGTGGTCTCCCCCAATTTTCCCTTTCTTGCCGTTGAGGGGGTACTTGTGCGCGGAGCCCACAATATTCTAAACATTCTGATTTGTTTGTTTTGTGAGAGACAAGTACTTTTGCTCAAAGCATATAGTCTGTATTCCTGAGAATTGAAGTCCAGTTTTAAGTTTCAAAAAACATCATCCCCATTTTATTTTCTAATGTTGCCAAGGGTCTACTTCTAATAACTCTCTCAGATCACTCACCATCAAGGCTGATCATTTTTATGCACAACTTAAACACATCATATATAAGTTCATTATTAACCCATACTCGTTTACATGGAAGGTTTTGTTCTCTTATGCACCTGTTGTTTATCCCCCCCCCCTCCTTTCTGCTTCAGCCCCTACCAGGCGCGGATCCAGGGGAGGGCCGCGGGGGCACGTGCCCCCCGTCAAATTTGAGTCAAAAAAAAAAAAAAAAAAAGGAATGAAGGGGGAAAAAGAGGGGAGGTGAGGGAAGGAGGAGGGAACCTCCCATCGTACGTACTCCCATCGTACAATCCCATCGTACGTACCCCGTACCGTACTACTAGTACGTACGTATGTACGTATTACCCTGCATAGGCCTATACCGTTATTAAATGCAATTCATACGAACGTATATACACGATTTATTCTCTACGAACAGGCAGCATTATTATGTGCGCGACAAACACAGGTTGCGCAGTGCTCTTTGGACCACACCATTGGTCAAGGGTGTGTTTTAGTAAAAACAATTTGCCAGCAGTTCCACGCGCTTTTGAATTACAAATTATACTTTTTTCACGGAGTCCAAAACATGTCCTTGTTTTAAATTGACTTCTTCAACGTCACGTCATCATATAATTTTCGTAAAGACTTTATTCGAGAAACGATGTAAAACCCTGAAAAAATTGAAACACCCCTGAAGGTCATGGATCCGTCCATAAAACGTTTTTTAACGAAGAAAGTTGAGATCCAAAAGTTGGGTTTTGACGTAACTACGCATTGCAGAAAATATAAATCTGATAAGTTTGGTACATAAAAGGGATTTGTTTGTCTGAGGACAAAGACAATCAGCAGTTATTGCCCAAAGGCAAGTTTTAGCACTCGAGACATGCTCTTGCAAGCTAAACGGAACGCAAGTGTGTTGCTTTTTGAATTGCAAGCGAGATAAATTTGGTCGTAGTTCGCCGGTGGCGACGCGGGCTGGCACCCGTGCCGGACCGGGAGGTATACACCTATTCCCGATGTCTATTTCTCAATGTTATCATCAACAATTATTTACTGTAATTTTTTTTTACATAACTAAATGACGAATCCACCTTCAAAATTGTACCATGTGGAAATTGCAATCATGGCGCCGAAAGACCCGATGTCTATTATAATGTAAAGACCAGACGCAGTGTCTCACACAATTTGTCTTGCTGCACCGCCGATCTGCCGATGGTTTATTTACAAATACATGCACGTGTAATAGGCCCTGTTCTTGAAATTGAAACTGGACTGAATTAAAAGAACATTTCTTTAAAATGTTTGGGCATTTTACATCTTGCAAAAAAAAAGAGGGAGAAACTTGGATGACCGTATGATTAATTTCTGTAGTCATGAGATAAAATTGAGCTGTGAAGTTACAATGCAGGCTAATTGCTCCTCTGTTTTAGTTTGATTAAATTACACTAATTTTAAACTTGAATTCAATTAACATGTTCAAGCGGTTTCTTCTTGTTGATAAACTGAAAATTTCAACTTGAAACAAAACATTAGAAAGCATCCTTACACCAGTTTACAAACTAAGTTTTTACAATTCCTTTTTCAAAAAATATAATGCACGAAGACATGCAGACAAAAATTCCTTTTTTTTTTCTTTAATTAATATTTTAATCAATGAAAAAAATCGTATAATCTTAAAACAATTTACTCAAATAACTCCGGAGAAGAGGGGCCAGGAATTGCCTCAGATTGCACCACAGAGCATCTAGAATCCAAAATTTCCCGGGGCCCTTAAGCGGGCCCCGGACCCCACGCCGAAAGATGATCGCGCTCCGCATTGGTCTTCGAGACGATGCCCTATACTCATCCTTGCAAGATACAATTCTTTTTCAAAAATAAGCACGGAAATAACTATGCAGACGAAAATGTTTGGTTATACAAGTGAAGAACAGAAGAAACTGAAAAGGCTTGTAAACGCAAGAGTATATAATAAACCAATGAAAAACATCCTTATAATCTTAAAACGTTTTGCTCAAATAACTCAGTGTAAAAGGGGCAAGGAATCCCCTCAGACTACACCACAGAGCATCTAGAATTCTAAATTTTCCGGGGCCCCACGCCGTAAGACAGGCGTGATCCGCCCTCGCATTAGTCCTCGGAGCAAATGCCACAACACATCGTTGCAACAGTTTACAAAACGAAGTCAATACAATTCCTTTTCAAAAATAAAAAGCAAGAAAACATAAAGACGTAAAATGGTTTTCGACTTTCAAGCACACAGTAACTTAAAAATTGTAAAAGTAAGAGTATGTTTTACAAAAATCCTTAAAATCTTAAACACTTTTGCTCAACTAATTCAGGGGAAAGGAGCCAGGAATCGCCTCAGATTGCACCACAGAGCATCTAGAATCCAAAATTTCCCGGGGCCCTTAAGCGGGCCCCGGACCCCACGCCGTAAGGGCTTCGCGCTCCGCGCTCGCATTAGTTCTCGGAGCAAATAATTTTTCTCCAACAGTGTGCCCCCCGTCTAAAAAAATCCTGGATCCGCGCCTGCCTACCCCACGCTTTATGTTGAGTTTTGCTCATAGTGAGACCCAGGAAATATCACCGTTTGCAGCGATAAATATGTGTGTGCAGATGGTGGCATTTGGTCACTCTTAAAGAGGCAAAGTTATGCTAGCCGGGGGACAAGGGGGAGGGGGGGGGGGGATAATTTTGATGCCCCATTTCAAAACTAGGCTGTTCCTGGAAGTAGAAAAATGGCATTGAACTGATCCACACAATCTTGAAGAAATGGTTCACAATGTCCAAAAGTAAGATTTTGATGCTTTGTCCTTCTTTGTAGGAATTTATATCCGGTGGGCGAAGTATCAACTTACTTGTCTTGGCCAGGAAGGTCCTGGTTTTTCATTGGGTGTTACAATTATGATTTGAGTGATATATTCAATATGTTTGTTCATGTCAAAAGGGCCTGACTCGCCCGCAGAGCTGCCAGTCATGTGGATCTTCCCTTATTTTCTGGAGCACAGAATTTTTGAAGGTCTTCCGTCATTTGTCATGCTGGACTACAAGGTAAATACTCCTTCTTTTTAACCCCCCCCCCCCCCCCACCATCCTATCCACGGGCACTGGTGACCTCTTGTCTGTTTACCCTGTCCCCTGGGTCAACACGTTTGAAAATATGTCGGACAGATCTTGATAACAATTTCTGTGTGAGTGTGACACATACGACAACAAGCTTATTAAAATAATGTAAAGGGAATTGATATTTTTGTTTGAAGTAGCAGATTGGCTGATATTTGACAGATTTAAAGAAAAAAAATGACCTAATATTCCTCATGGTAGCCCTCAAATCACGCGTGTAAAACTGCTTTCAACAAAAGTGTGGCATTTGAGAAACAAAACCACACAACTTGATTAAAATAACATCACATTAAAATAACATCACGTTAAAATAACATCACCTTCTTGAGACTGCTCATATTTTTCAAGTATTGGAATAAGAAAAAGCATGGTATTCAGATATTTGGTGGATGATTGAATATTCTAATATATTCAGCAGAGCTCCACCCACATTCTTTGCGAAGGGTGCATTTCCTTCAAAAGATTTTGTGAAAAGGATCAGCAGTCATCAGCTCCCTAGACAGGACAGTGGGGATGAATAAGCACCTGCCTTTTGTGGAACATTAACCCTCCTACTGTATGAACAGTCACAGAAAGTCAAAAAACAATCCTCTTCCCCTGCCATGCCTTTTACACAGGCTAGTCAAAAACAGTCAGATCATATTTTAAGCAAGCACTGTGACTAGCCAAAATTAGCCAGCAGACAAAAACAGGAAAGTGGTAGGCACAGCTGGCTTATCAATTGCTTACAGTCAAAGCATAGCTACGGTATATCAAGATACATAAACAGTCACAGCCTGTCAATCCTGCTAAATGTAGGCTGGCAGCTCATTACTGTTGAAAACAGTCACTTGATTGATTTTTACTGAAAGGTCAACTTTGCACAGAATGTACGTTTGCATCTAGAGGGTGGCCCATATAAGATAATTTGCAAAAATGCTGCTGTAGGTGTTAGCATTCTTTTCAAATAGGATGCATTCCACCTGTACAGTAATTCCACAGTTGTAGCAGAATGCACCTGTAGTAATAATTTGGCCATGCATTTTTGCCCCAAATTAGTCTTGGTACATGGCGTTCTAAGTGGGGTAGCTCACGATAGACGTACAGCCTTTGTACCACTCAGCAGCATGTTTGTTCCCATCCACAAACATGACTCGGTCCATGAACCACAGGCAAAGAACATTTTGGGAATTTGGCATTGCAATAGGGCGCAACTTAATATGCAAAATAATGGGGTATGCACATCAGTGCAAACAATAGAATTGTTGACCAAAGAGGTGTTGACCACTGTCAACCCTATGATTCGGTGGAATCATGGCCATGTTTAAATTGACGAAGAGCACTGATTTTTAGCCTTCCAAGGCCCAGTTTCATTGCTTCAACATTGATGGCTTCGTCCACGCGGTCGAAATTTTAGCTGGATACACGCATGGCTTTCAAAACTGCAGTATGCCTACGTGCAGAAACCAGGCATGCTTACGTCACACACGCACACAAACGTGTATTCACCGTCGATCGTGGACGTGCTATTGTCCCTCTTTTGTTTGTACTTTTTAGGAAGACTCCCATAGGTTATGTACACGACCCCAATCGCGGACGTATGCTGGGAATCGTGGACGATATTGTTCTCTTTTGTTCTCTGGAATTTTTCGTCCATGGTTTGAAAAGATGAACACGTGCATGCAAATGCACACTCAATTCTGCTGGGAAACATCCTTTGCGGCCTGTTGGCGCATGTGTAAAAGGGTGCCCGCTTGGTTGATCCCTGCACAGTCCAATAACCAGTGCGCACTGACACAATCGCACCACTAAGGATATCTTGGAACCAAGACTTATGACCGGTATATGAAATCCCTGTGTACGCACTGGCTCAAAGTAAAACAAAAAACGCAATGATGAAGTGAAACAAAGATGAACGTAGATGTATGTCTTCTGCTTATTTTTATTTTTCATTCAGTCATTTTTCCAAACTTTTTTTTTAAACTCTTTTAAGAAATCTGTATTCAATCGTTTTGTAGGTCGAGTATGAGAACCATCCACTCTTCCAAAGCAGCAAGAAGGCATGTAAGAAGGGCTCCCCTGTACGAATCTTCACCAACATCATCCCCTCCAAAATAGTCCTGCCTGCGAGTGACGGTTACAGGTGAGTTTGCTTATGGGGGGGGGGGGGGGACGAACCTGTGTTAACAGGAACGGAGTGCCCATATCTCTTTCTTTAGCGATTGGGCCAGACTCATATGCTGCTGTGGGGGTAATCGCCATACCTCCTCCGCAGTGGGTCTTGTTACCTTCCCAGCATTGAATAATGCCGGTACCCATTTAACACCTGGGTTGAGAGGAGTAATTGAGGTAAAGCGCCTTACTCAAGGGCACAGCACGCATGGCCACGGCGGGGCTCGAACCCACAACCTCACGACCATGAATCCTGTGCTCCACCGCTAGACCGCACGTGCTTATACTCATCAAAATGTGTGCACAAACTCTGTGATAAATACCTAACACAATCGACTTTCCTGACCACATCATTCTCATTGGAAAACTTGTGTAGTATGGCCTACTGGTTGTCTGGTGTGTTTTAAAGCGGATGACCAGGTGATCAATTCTACTAATCCAGCCTTTTTTTATTACAAAAGATAATCTCTACCAACTGTGCACACATCCAGTGGCAGGGGGGGGGGGGGGGGGGGAGGGGGCGGGGGAGATACGTTCCCCCAAACAATTCCCAGTGCGCCCCCCTCGCCCAGGTGGCCCTGCCCACCCCCCCCCCAAAAAAAAAATACATATAAACTGAATTTGCCCCTCACCCTACAAGTGTCTTTTTGAAAGTGCAGTAATAATTTCCTTCACCAATATTTATAAAATAATTATTAATAAATAGATGAGAAAATGGAAAAGAGCATCAATTGTGGTTCCGCCCCCCCCCCCCCTTTTAGAATTGGAAGCAACTGGCTGGCCAGTTGCCCCTGAAAATTTGGGTAATTTTTGTTGTGGATCCATCCTTGGGGCCCCCCCCCCCCATAAAATGCTGGGTGCTCCCTGGGCCCCCACTGAAAAGATGCTGACTATACAAAAAACACCGACGGAGAAATTTTCACTCATCATTTGTCAATGGAATGGTTTTCACACATTACTTCCCTTAAAAAAAAAAAAGTCACAGAGCAATGATTCTGAAATATTGAAAGAAAAGGTCAGATATTTTTTTCATTGAATGATAGGACTTTATAATCTACAGCAAAACGAAAACAATTCATACACATCCCTATGTGACTTGTTTTCGTTTTGCTGAAAGAACACTTACCTTTTTTGTGATTCGTGGACACAACTTCAGAACAGGGGTTGTGTTTGAAATTCCGTAACTTGTAAAGTACATTTGAATGATTCTTGTACTAAAAGAAAGCTTATGAATTGGGCTTCCATACCGGTATCCTAGATTTTGAAAGTGCCACTCGTATGCAGAACTTCACTAAAACAAGTGTCCTGCCATTTGGGTTTCGTTGTTTTTTTTTACTCACCCTGTATATGAAATCCAACCTAACAGTTGCCAATAAATAAATTATCCTATCCTTTCCTATCCTATCCTTGTGGCGCTGTTCATGTATATGTATGCATGACGAGGCTTTACTTCGCCCCCTTCAAGCAGTTTTGCCACCTTGCCTGCGTCGCAACTTTGCAGTGTTGTAGTCGAGACCATCCCAAGACCAGCCACAAGTAACAGGGCACAAACAATGACAAAGGAATGCCTTTGTTGCAGTTCATTTAAATGACTTGTGACTTGACTTGAGACTGGAGGTCTTGGGTTGGTCTTGTGATGGTCTTGCAGGGTCTCGACTACAACATTGGTCGCAAGTGATCAACTCGTGAACAATTCGTGAACACACAAACAAACAAGTCTGTTTTTGCCTACAATCACGAATCCCCTACTGTCCCTCTTTTGTTTGTACTTTAACTGATTAGGAAGACCTCCCATATGTTTTGTACCGGTACATGATCTTAAATTGGAGACCTTTGGGAAATTGGGGACCCTATTGTCCAACGTCCCCTATTGAATGCAGAAACAAACTCACCAATACAAGCCTTGAGTGTGTGTACACATTGCCTGCAATCGGGAACTCCCTATTGTCCCTAATTTGTTTGTACTTTAACTTCTTAGAAGACCTGCCATATGTTTTGTACACGAATCCAAATACGGGACCTCTCGGCAATTGGGGACCCTATTGTCCTCTATTGTTCAACGTCCCCTGTTGAATGCAAAAACAAACTCATGTGTGCCCACACACGCACACCTTATCCACATGATAGTTTATCGGTGATGAAAGTGCATTCCTTCAATTTCCAATGCAAAATTAATATATATGGTAAAATGTACACTACGTTTGATTTGTGGACAATCTAAAATATTGGGGTACAATTCATGATTTCCCCCGATGCCACCAGTGATTCTATGTCTTTTCTGGCAGAAAAAGGAGAGAAAAACTCTTGACACCGATTGCTTCCACTGATATGAAAAATGTCATAACAATGTAGTGCATGATGATGAGAAATATAGGCCTACAGGGTTATTGTTACTGTCACTTGTGAAATGGATGTCTTGTGAGTGGTACAACTGCAATTGCTGTTGTCAGTCCCGTGGGTATTCTGGGGACTCTGTCTGCTTTGATGATTCTGTTGAGTTTTGATGAGGCAGTGACCTTTCAGCGTGTCATGTTTTGGCTTGTAAATGAAAAAAAAATTGATTAGAATTGACTTGGTGGGAGGGGGAAAGTTTTATTGTTCCAAACGTTCTACAACAAACTTCCTGGCTTTTCTCCTTATTTACTTATTGCATATAGGGTGAGTAAAAAAACAAAAAAAAACAAATGGCGCCCCCTATTTTGTAAAGAAGTTCTGTGTGTAGTGCTTTCCAGATCTAGGATGTGAAAGCCCAATTAATAAGCTTTCTTTTAGTACAAGAATCATTCAAATCAGTCCTTTACTTTTCACACAAACACAGATTTGAAATGTTTTCCACGCAACACATTTAAGGTACATGCACGTAATATTTTAGTAAAATGAAACCATGTCGTATCGTGAAAACGATATCAGAATAATCCCATCTAAGTCTCCGGGGTAGCCAAGTAGAAGGCAGGGCAAGACTATAAACTCTTGACATTATAAAGCAAGTTGTTTTAAACATTGGAAGCAGGTGTTTAAAAAAAGGTTATGATAAGAGCCAGTTATCATGGTTATGGGAGTGTTCTGATGTTTTTTTTTGTTGATATGTGAATTGCTTTCTGTTTGCTGAAATATCACTTACCTTTTTTGCGATCTGTGTACAAAATTATAAAACTGCGATTGTGTTTAAAAGTCCATAACTTGAAAATTACATGAACGATTTGAATGATTCTTTTATTAAAAAAAAGCTTATTAATTGAGCTTTAACATCGTAGATCTTGAACGCACTACATGCAGATCTTCTTTCCAAAATAGGGGGTGCCATTTGGGTTTCCTGGTTTGTTTTTTAACTCCCCTGTATTGTAAAATTATAGGCTAATTTTGTTTGGCACTATTTGCATGGATCAAAATTAAATACACCAAGGTAATTTGAGTGAGAGGTTTATTGTCAGTTTTTGTGTTAAAAACCCTCTTCATATTTAATGAAATTGAAAAACTACATGTAAAGTCAATTTTCAAATTACTGTTTACTTTTTCAAGCAGCAAGTTGCCTGTGGAAGAGAAAAAACAAACAAACAAACAAACAAGTAAACAATTTGAACTGGAAAATTGGTGTTTTAAATTTGTTTGGCTTGTTTAAGGGTTGCGGCAAAGTTTCAGAATATAGCGGTATTTTTTAGGGAAGAATAAAATCTGAATTTGCAAACAAACATAATTTTTGAGGAATGCGAATGGACAGGCAGATTATAGGCTTGGTCATCATAGTAGTCATGGTAGTTGTGAGACATTTAGGGAGATCTATCTTTCTCTGTTTCTTCTTATAGAGTGGTCGGGCACAGCCCAATCACTGTTTAGAATTGTTCCAATTAATCTTTCTTTCTTCCTTTCTGTGTTTTTTCCGGACAATACTTCTCCGCGGCTTGTCTCCTAAACGGTTTATGGTGTGAACTTGTAACTCTCAACAAATATTGACCCTCATCCCTAGTGGTGCATATTACTCCAGATGACATCATGATGACGTCATAGGGTGTCAAATTACAACTGATTAAACATTTCTAGATTTAATCTTTGAACAACAATATAAAATCAACCGTGAGAGACCTGAACTTGACTGTTGCGGGGATAGAAAAATCCAGGATCTTCATTTTATCTTGTGTGCGCCAAATCATGTGACCTTTCCTTCCGGTCCAAACTGGAAGTGCCTTATAACTTGAAAGTGAAAAAAGATGTGAACTTGATTTCAACGATGTTAGTCTCTGGCTAGGTTGCACTTTAGAAAAAAATACTGGTGACATCATAGCGGCCTCTAGCGGCAGGTTGGAAAATGTTTAAATTGAATTTTCAGTTGATTATTGTGTCACAATAATCAACAGTTTAAATTTATGACACGAAATAGATGCAAGCCCGACCACTCTGCGTTTGTAACTCAACAAACGCCAATCTCTAGTTCTTTTGATGTCTTTTTGTTTTTGATTGACCGGCAAATTTTATCCCTCTGTCAATAGAACAGGTGGTTGTGAGTCTTTCTTTTGGTATTATTTCATGTGTAGATAAACCTTCTTTAATGCCTCTCTCGCTGTGACCCCCTTTCAGCCCCATATTTATGCTTTATTCCCTGAACTGATTCCTCCTCCGACAATCATTAGCAAATGATTAGTGGCATTTTACAGCAATTTTACAGCAGGCAGAATAAACCAGCAGAATGTTGAAGTCACGAATCAAATTGGCAAGCGTTATTTCAAATACTTTACATCAAGTCATTCATTGAGTGCTAAATATGACAGTTCTAGGTAAGGCTTGTGATGGATTGTTTGATTGCTAATGTTCCGAGGGGGGTGGATATTTTGCCCCCGACTACAAGGGTCCGTCGTGGGCATTTATGGGTATGATCATGTTACAATAATATTTGAGAATGTACCCTCTGTGTTATATTTGTGCTTCACTCCGAAAAAGAGTTTTAATTTTAATTATATTGCTGTTTTTCCAGCAATA